CTTGGAGCAAGAGGTTTTGCTTTTGTAAATCGACGTTCTTCTGCCTTTCGTATCTCAGCTCCTTCTCGGCTGAGCTGCACAAGTTCTGAACACGACGCAGGTCCTGCTGCAGTCGCTCCGTTTTTTCCTCCTGCTGCTGGAATCTCTCGTCAGACAGATGCTGCAGGAGCAGCAAAACGACAAAGGTTACATGGAAGTTAACTTCAAGGAAAGATAAAGACTGGTAATGAAGAAAGGTAGAGGTGTGCCGTAGGATTTAAGGGCATTTAAGAGGGAAGCTGGGTAAAGCCAGGCAAGCGTTTCTTCTGCCCCCACCCTAGGTCCTTCTCCCTACCCTGTCCGTCCCCTCAGAGAAGCCAATACTTCTTGAGGTCAAGGGTAAGATGCAACAACCTGGATGAGGCAACAAACCCCTGTTAAAACTAACCTGTCCAACAAAAGCAAAGCCACCCACGTTACTCTCAACTCTTGTGCCAGAGTCTCACTAAACAACGAGGCATGAGAGGCTCATCCAGCCACAACTCCCAGAAGGAGCAGCAACCAGGCGAGTCCTGGCAGAGGTACACGGACAGACACCCTGGCACAATGCGACAGCAGCCTGGACACCTTGAGGTGGTCACTGATGGTCTCTGATGCCTTTCAGAAGGTAATTGAGCTCTTTGGTTCACCCAAGCACCTCGTACACAGACCAAAATTTCTTCCCATCTTTGGTGTCCCAAAACCCTTCTTCCCAGCATCACTTTCAGCCATCTGTCAATCTGCGTTCCCGCTTTGTGCCTTCACCCTCTGTTCATGGGACCAGATGAAACCCACTGAAGATCAAGTTTACCTTCTCAGATCAGTCCCCAGATAAATTCCCAAGCTGTGAAGTCTTGATCCAGCAATGTCATTTGTCCTCGAGATCAGTCAGGGTTTGTGGGGTTTTTCCCCCACCTGCTTCTATTGGGATCCTGTTCAGCATCCCCTCTACACCTTGTATCTTGCTTTGATCTGCTCCAGCTCTACAGATGTGCTGCTTCTTGGTATCAGCACAACTCTGATCCTCTTCTCCCACTCGCACTTCTGCCTACAGGCCACCCTGCCCTCTCTTCTCTTCCAAACTCTTGCGTATCATCCTGGCTCCTCCTCAGACTTCCCATCCCGGCCACTGTCACCATTTCTTCCCCCTTTGGCAGGGTTACCTGCTCTTCCCTTTCTTTTAAGGCCACACAGTAAGTAACGTGAACAAACCGCATGTCCAGCACAGCTAAACGTAGTGACAAGGAGGCGGCTGGCCCACCAGCTAGTAGAGCAATTGGAGAGCAGTAACTGCAACACAGGCGCAGGGCCGCAGCAAAACCCAGCTGCTTGTCAGCTGCCACTGCGGGGCAGCAGCTCTGGGATAAGTTCCACGCTGCAAGCGCAGAAAATCCCCCAGGGGAGCGGGCAAGAGGAACAGCTTGTGCCTACAGCAAAAGCAAGACCGTGGTGGGAATAGCAAGCCAGCTCTATTGCTCACGCTCCAAAAAGGAGCCGAGAAAGAGCTCCAAAAGGTTTAAAACATCATTGAAGGACTGTGAAACTTATTTCTTTGATGCACACTCAGGGGGCCATTCAGTTTATCCGAGTTCCCACTAGGTCCAAAAACACAGCAGAAGGAAATTATGACATTCATACTTTCCAAACATTTTCCCCAAGGAAATCAGTCAGCCTTATCTCCCCGCTGTGTGCCAACATTACAGGACTGGCTTCCAGTCCACTTTAATTAGGTTTTGCCACGAAATTAGGGGAAAAAAACGTACGGTGGAGATGGCAAAGCTGCCCATACCTGTTTAAGGCTCCCATCTAAACTGCCTGCAGAGCTCTGCCACACAAGAAACCTGTTCTCTCTATGTGCCACGCCTTGATTCATCCTCCAAGTCTTGTCAAGCGTGCTGTCGCCCTGCTCCCGGGTAGTCAGGATATCTTGTTTTAGCTGGGCAATTTCTTCCAGTAACAACCATTTTTCTTCATTGCTCTCTTTTAGCTGCTTTTCTAGCTCCTCCCTCTTCTTGTTGCTTTCTAGTAATTCAGTACTTGAATGAGAAACAGTAAAGGAGAGAGATAACTATACACATCCAAAGGAAACCACCCTCTGAAGGGGAAAAACTTGGGATATGAGAGTCCAGTGAAACGCTCAAGACAATACTCAAGCGTCTCAGGAGGCTCCAAAGGGGATTTAGTTCTGGGTCTTGCAGTTCTGGGCAAGGGTCAGCCTCCAGGGGAAAAATAAAAAAAAAAAAATAACAAAACCAAAATAAAGTGTGTCCAAAGGGTCAGCTCTCAGTCATTCACCAGTAGGTGAACTGCTCACTCAGGCAACACTCACATGGAGCCACGTGAGCTGGTCTGCACTCACAAGCAGCGCAGAAGCACTCACCCAATGCCTCGCTGTGTGGAAGTACAGGCTCAGGTCTCCCGATCAAGCTGTGCAACTCGCCGCAATCCAAACTAGGTCCTTACACGCTAACCTACCTGTCTTATCCTGGTTCTACTTTACCTCAGTGCCTAGTTATCCAGGTAACTGAGCTGACTGTAACTACATCAGGATCTAATCCGAGCCTTTGCTTACTAATGAGAGCCTGGGACTGGATGGCTCAACTCCAAATTTGTATTGATCTACTGAGAAAAGGGAGCCAGGAGACCTGCAAGAGCTTTATGTACAACCCCGACGCCTCCTGACACCTGCCCTCCAAGGACAACTGAAATCCACAGCAGGATGTTGTGGTGGTTTGGTGTCTGGCTGGGGTTCGGCGCGGTTTTGGTAGTGGGGGAGAGGGCCACAGAGGCGGCTCCTGCAAGAGGCTTCAAGAAGCTCCCCTGGCTCCAATTTCAGGCCCATCTCTGGGCAAGGCCAGACCAGTGGTGGTTCTGCGAACAACTATTTAAGAGTGAAAGAAGCGGTTGATTGTGTGTCTCTGTTCTGTGTGTGTTGGTGAGTGAAGTGGGACGGGAGAGAGCCAGCCCTGCTGACATCCCAGTCAGTGGGGAAGGAGAGGGGGAGCTGTGCTGGAGCAGAGGTTCACCTGCGCACCTTGGTGGGGTGGCAGCA